TTTTCTTCCTCATGGAAACGTGTATTTCCTGATAGAATTAAAGAGCAGCCTCCAAATCTAGTCTTTTTCTATCAATGAAATTCAAAAAGTTTGATGGAGAAAGTGTTTTCCCTCAGACTCTGTCTTTTTTTTCAAATGATTTAAAAATTCTTTTATTTTGAAATGTTAGACTTACAAGCGGCAAACAGAGATTCCTGTATCTATTCCATCAGCTTCTGCAAAGGTAAGTATCTGACATATCGTGGTAAAATTATCAATACTAGCCAACCAACACTGTTATAATATTGTTAATTAAACTGCAGACCATATTCAGATTTCACCAGTTTTTCCACTAATGTCCTCTTTTTGTTTCAGGATCCAGTTCCGGATCTCACATTGCACTTTTTTGCTTTCCCTGAGTCTCTTTCAATTTGCAACAGTTCTTTAGTCTTTCCTTATTTTTTTTTATGATCTTGACACTTATGAATAGTATAATTGATTAATTATATTCCAGAATGTCCTTCAATTTGAATTTTTCTGATGTTTCCTCATGATTGGACTAAGGTTACGAATATGTCCTTCTTCAACACTTGGTATCAAAAATAATGTCAGTATGATGTTTTACTGCTGATGCTAACTGTGATTACTTGGCTAAATAGTGTTTGCTGTGTTACTATCTTTCCATTTATAATTAATAAAAATTTGGGAGTAGATACTTTGAAAGTATGGTAATATCTTATTTCTTCTGAAATTTTCACCTGCTACTCAGTAACCTTTGGTGGGCCTTGTCTAGAACAATAATGTCTGTGGTGTTTGCTTACTGCTGCTTTTCTACTGAAATGTAATTGGAATCTGTAGCAAGTAAAGAGCACATACATGGCACAAGAAACATGTTTTTCCTTCCTCAGATCCTCAGTGTAACCTGGAGGATGTGTAAATATACCTCTTAATATTGTCTTTTCCCTTAATCAGCACTGGATTCCATGGAAAATGCTCCTTACCTTCAGTCAACAATGGTGTGTCATTGTTCTCAGTCACTAGAGTAGAAAGAGTGAAAAATAAGATTCCACTGTACCGTATGACGATATGAGTCTACCTCCTGCATAAATTCAGATGATAGGGGAAAACATTGGCAGTATTGCTTTCGATATGAAAGATGTCAACAACCAAAGAAACCTCACTGACTTTATTAGGTATCCCCTAGTTTGTGCCTTTAATGAAAGAGATTTGATGACATGTGAGAAAATCTCTCTTCAGGTTCCATTTGTTTCATTATTGTCTAGCCCTTCTTAGCCTAAGTTGCTTTTCAAAGGAATCATAATAATAGACTGACATAGCGTATTCCCATAACGCTAAAGGAGAAGTTTCCCTCAAGGAAAACGTGAAAAATTAAGTGACTCAAGGATCTCCCATCTTCCCATTCCGTTCAGACAAGGGACTCAGAAAAGTGACTTAAAAAGTAGGCTTGGTTGTGCCTGTGTGTGTGTATGTGTCCCAGGACAAGTCTTCCTTTAATTTCACTTTCTGTAAAACTAAAGACAGACAATTAAGTGCTAAGATCTCACATTTCATGGAAATTTTAAAATACTACTTACTCAAACTGATATAGGCAGGGCGTAAATTAGACAGTTAAGTAACAGCATGGTTTTCCTGAATATACTTTTATGCGTTTTATTTATGAATACTACTACTTGTTATTCCACTTGCCTCCTTATTGCAAATTAACTCTGACAAGTAAGACATAGGTTAAAAACATTAATCCTTACAGTGTATATATGAATAGGTTTATTTCTATCATTTGCATATTACTTGAAATATGCAGTATTTTATAGATTACATCAAGACATAAAAAGAAACGTTCATTATTTTCTTTTATATATAGAGTATTCATAATGAATGTTTTTCAACTTTAATCGCTAGAAGGTAAGGGTTTTGTTTGCTTTTTTTTTT